CACCCAAAATTGCCTTGGGGATCTCCTATATACAGAGGCAGGCGAAACTGGAAATGGATACAACTCTGTTTAGAAATGTATGAAAAACTCAATGGCCATAAGCTGCCAGCTAGCAACATCAAATCCACATGTATGTGTTGTTGGGTTTGTTTTTTTCCCTCCAAGCAGCTTTTTAGACTCCCCCAAGTTTTAAAAAAACAAGTTTTGAAATTTCAGTATGCCAAAGTGCCGGTCAAAAAACTTCCCCAAAGCTCTGATACTCAACACAAAGTTGATGGGAAGAGCATTTTGCTGTCCAGTGTGGTGTGGTGGTTAAAGAGGAGGTGGTTAGAGCCAGTTTGGTGTAGTGGTTAAGTGCGTGGACTCTCTGGGAGAACCGGGTTTGATTCCCCACTCCTCCACTTGCACCTGCTGGATGACCTTGGGCAAGCCATAGTTCTGTCAGAGCTCTCTCAGCCCCACCTACCTCACAGGGTGTCTGTTGTGGGGAGGGGAAGTGAAAGGAGTTTGTAAGCCACTCTGAGACTCCTTTGGGTAGTGAAGGGCGGGGTATGAATCCCATCTCTTCTCTTCTTCTTCTTAAAGTGTTGGACTAAGTAAAAGTAAAGGTTTCCCTTGCTCGAAAGCTAGTCAAATCCAACTCCAGGGGGCGGTGCTCCTCTCCGTTTCCAAGCCAAAGAGCCAGTGCTGTCCGAAGACGTCTCCATGGTCATGTGGCCGGCATGACTAAATGCCGAGGCGCATGGGATGCAGTTACCTTTCCACCGGTTCAATAGTGCTTTTGACATTTAGGTAAAGGTAAAGGTTTCCCTTGCTCAAAAGCCAGTCGAATCTGACTCTAGGGATGCGGTGCTCATCTGTTTCCAAGCCGAAGAGCCAGCACTGTCCGAAGACGTTTCCGTGATCATGTGGCCGGCATGACTAGATGCCGAGGCGCATGGAACGCTGTTACCTTCCTACTGAAATGGTACCTATTTATCTACTTGCAGTTTCTTGCTTTCAAACTGCTAGGCTGGCAGGAGCTGGGGCCAGAGACGGGAGCTCACTCCATCACGCGGCACTCGGGTCTCAAACTGCCAAGCTACTGACCTTCCGGTCTGCAGCTCAGCGTCTTAACCTCTGAGCCATGGACTACGATCCCAGAAACCCAGGTTCGAATCCCCACTCTGCCCCGGAAGCTTGCTGGGTGACCTTAGGCCAGTCACACACACACAGCCCAACCTACCTCACAGGGTTGTTGTGAGGAACAAACAGAGGAGAGGAGAATGGTGTAAGCTGCGCTGGGTCCCTGTTGGAAAGAAAGGTGGGATATAAATTAAGTAAATAAATAAACTTGGAAACACTGTTCCTCAGGAACACAGATTTGTTATGAAAATACTTTGGGTATCTCATCGGTGCAATTCAACATTCAAAGTTACATCTGCCGGGAGGCAGGATTTGCAGAAACACAGAAGTTGCAGCCTACGCATAATCCAGTTGTCAGAAGGGGCAGTTTCTTGGGTCTACCCTGGCAGCTGAGTTAATAAAAGTGAAAAGCTACTGTTCATTCACATATTAACACTAAGCACCATTTTTTTTAAAAAATAATAATCTTGCACTAATTTAACTACATAGGCCTGGTCCTTACTGACAGCTATAACAGACAGGGTAATGTCTAGCTCGCGGTTGGAACAATCTGGGATTGCAGGATTATGGTAACTGTGCCAATTAAAGTCTATTACGCGAGCCACCATATGCTTCTGTCTTTTCAAACCTGTTAGACTGCTACATCAATGTTAGTTTGCCTTCTGAATTTAAGGCTGGGCGCTTTAAGTACAAACAGCTAATACCATTCCCGGCAAAGACTAAAGAATTCTACATCAATGTTAGTTTGCCTTCTGAATTTTTAAGTACAAACAGCTAATACCATTCCCTGCAAAGACTCTAGAATTCTTCGGGAAGAGGACAAATGTCCAGACAGTCAAGAAGGTCAGAGTGCTGTCCGGCCTCCTCTGTGTGCATCCAGATCTTCATCACCCCGAGTTGGTGGCTCAGCCACTCGGAAGGACCCTTGAAAGGTTTTTGAAAAAAAATTGGGGGGGGGGGTGCATCCTGAAACAGGCCATGAAACAGGACTGCTAATAAAAGAAATATTTTTCCACATCTAAAAAAATGTAAAGAGCACCTTTTTGATTACGGGGAGATGACGGTAATCGTTGCTGTCATTCAGCTGAGCATAAACAAAAACAATTGTAGAACTTGCGTGCTTTTCACTACACAAGCAGCTCTTATCTTAAATGTTACTCTGCTTCATACATAAATCAATGGTGATTTAGTAGTTCATTTATACCCCATCCTTCTCCCCAGTGGGGATCCAGAGTGGCATAAGAACATAAGAGAAGCCATGTTGGATCAAGCCAATGGGCCCATCCAGTCCAACACTCCGTGTCACACAGTGGCCAGAAATACCAGGTGCCATCAGGAGGTCCACCAACAGGGCCAGAACTCCAGAAGCCCTCCCACTGTGGCCCCCCAAGCACCAAGAATACAGAGCATCACTGCCCCAGACAGAGTCTTCCATCTATACCTTGTGACTAAGAGCCATTCATGGACCTCTGCTCTTAAGAACATAAAAGAAGCCATGCTGGATCAGGCCAATGGGCCCATCCAGTCCAACACCCTGTGTCACACAGTGGCCAAAACCCAGGTGCCATCGGGAGGTCCACCAGTGGGGCCAGAACCCCAGAAGCCTTCCCACTCTTGCCCCCCAAGCCCCAAGGATACAGAGCATCACTTGCCCCAGACAGAGTGTTCCATTCTTACCTTGTGGCTAATGGCCACTCATGGGACTCTGCTCCATACGTTTATCCGATCACCTCTTGAAGCTGTCTGTGCTTGTAGCCACAACCTACAGCAGAGAATTGCACGTGTGAATTACTCCTATATAATTTCCCATTTTATCCTAACAACAACCCTTTGAGGTAGGTGAGGCTGAGTGTGTGTGACTG